CTGCAAAAATTACAAACAATTTAATAGGAAAATAACTACTCTTGTCATTTTTTATCACATGATATTTAATATATCAAGTTTGGACTTTGCAGACCTCACTCTGCTCGCTTGGCCAGGAACCATCATGTAGTAGCAAAACATAAAACTTCAAAACCCTTATAGGATCCTTAAAGATTGTTCAAATAATCTATAATTTTATCTTACTGTTATTACTGTTATACAGGCTTGAATCATTTAAATCTTTTTTTGGACTATTGAACATTGTTATTGACAATTTGTAATTATTTGAGTTGTTTTATTGTTTATTTTTAGTAATTTTTTTAAAATTGTTTAAAAAAAAAAAATTAATAAAAAATAATGAATAAAAAAAGTTGCAGTTGTTGTTCTACCCACCCTGAAGGTAGGTTTAAAACTTGGTTAAAATGTAAAATAAGCTAAAAGTTTACAAAACACAAAAAATTTTATTAGAATTCATTAAAGTACAAATTAAATTACAGCTACAGCTTTTTCTTATTTTTAGTTTCTTTTTTTAATTATTTCTACATTATTCCTCTCTATATGCCTTATATACCTTTAGTACTGAGACATAATATATTAATGAAAATTAATAGTATGCCCAGCGGGCATTTGTTTTTAAAAGTTATGTTCTAAATGTATTTTAAATGTCTTTTAAATGTCTTCTAAATATTCTTACGTAAAGAATGTTAAAAAGACATTTAAAAAACGTTTGAAAGACATTTAGAACGTAACTTTGAAAAACAAATGCCCATAGGGTTAGTTTAACATTTGTAATTAGTACCAGGGGTGTGGAGTCGTAAAAAAAAAGTAGCGACTCCGACTCTAGTTGTTGAAATTTTTTGAGCACATTTCCGAATTTATGAAATGTTCTTTGAGGTTTATTATGGACATAAGGTTAATTGAATGTTTTCTACATAAACATGCAATACCGAAAAGTTTTACTATTAGAGTCGAAGTTGCGATTTTGTTAAGCGAAAAGTTTCCGACTCCGCTGAAAATGTCGCAACTCCGACTCCGACTCCACAGCCCTGATTAGTACACAAGTATTTTCCAACTCCACAGCCCTGATTAGTACACAAGTATTTTATTAAGAAAATTTATTCTATATTTGTAGGAAGAGAGTGTTCAGAAAATCAACCAATCAGAGCAGTTAAAACTTCAGGTATGTGTACAAAACAAAAATATATTTAAGTTTTGATGTTATATAAAAAAATATGAACAATATAAAAAAAATTGAAAAAAATTTATTTATAATAAATTGTTTATTATTTTTGTAGAAAAGTTTTTTTCAAGTTTACTTCTTGTTGCATTTTGAATATATAGTAACGCTTGTTATCAGAATCAGAATTAGCACCACCATAACATATATGTGACAAAATTTGTTGTATCTTCATGTCTTACTTTAGAGCTGTTTGAATGATTTGGCTTCTTGTTCCCAGGAATTTAAAAATATTCTTCAGGTATGAAATTATTCTGATTATCTTCCAGTACATTTTTTTAATTTTCATAACTAGGTAATCAAATTTTCTATAATTGATTAGGCAATTTTTTTAATGTGTTTTTATATGCAATCTTTATGTTTGTTACTGATGTTTTTTATATATGTCATTACATTGACTGAGGTTTTGGGTTGGGGGGGGGGCAATCATTCTTTTTATTACTCTTTTCTTTTTTCTTCATTTTCCAAAAAAATAAGCTCAAAGAGTTGGCAAATGTATATATTATAGTGATTGAAATGTATAATGTTATAGTGATAAAATTGTTAATGTGTTAAATTGTTAATGTTAAAATGTTATAGTGATAAAATTATAAATGTTATAGTGATAAAATTGTTTTGTTTTCTTCAATAATTTTAAAACTATTGAACAAGTATTATACTGAATCATGATTTCTTTTGCAAAATAGGTTAACATCATAAGTTAACATATTCATTATAAGTTAACATATTCATCATAGTTAACATATTTGAGTTGAATTTTTAAAAGTTTTAAAGATTGCTTGGAGTTCACTAACTATTGTCCAATCTCTTTGATAATATTACAAATGTCTTTACCAATCTCTTTGACATTATGTTTTATTTTATTTTTTTTATCAACTAACTCCTAATATTTTATCAACAACTTACTCTCTGGTAATCAATTTTCTTGTTCTACAACTGACACAGAGTCTTAATAATAGAAAGGTGTTATTTTGCATGAGATGATATCAAAGTCATTTTTATAGTTATTTTAATGCAATAAATTTTAATTAAAAATACATTGCAATATATTCTAACCCCTTTAACTATCCTCTGATCAGTCTTCTCTATTATTATCAAGTACTTTGAATCTTTGATCAACAAAATTCTAACATCCCATCTTGAGTCAAATAACTTAATGCAGACAGTCAATACGGTTTTTAATCTTGTTTTATGGCTGATCTGCTAGCTGCTAAAAAATTTAATTTTAAAAATTCTATTGTGCATTAGAAGGAAACAGGGCTCTTGCTCTTAACATATTTAAAGCTTTCGATTAAGTTTGACAGGTTTCGATTAAGTGGACAGGTATTTATCAACCTTCTGACTATAAAATCAGAGATACATCCTGCTTCTTTAAATAATAAATACTGCTTCTTTAAAGTAAAAGTGTAAATATAAAATGTTAATATATTCTTTTGATCCAAAAAAGCTTCTTTAAAGCTTCTTTAAAGTCCTCTAGATTAAAATTATCAACAGAACAGAACCTTTTACTTCATTGTTGTAACTGTTATCTTTTGGTTTTATATTTTGAGTGGAAATTGATTTTTAATGATCTCATAAGAAGTTCCAGAAAAACTTTGCCTAAAACAGTTGTAGAATCAGTAGTCAAATAATATTTAGATTCTAAAAGGAAACCATGTCTAATATAAATATTCTTAATGTTATTGATACTTTATTATTATTGTTATTATTTTGTATTATTACTATAATTATTACATATATCATTATTATTTGTTTAACAAACTTTTCTTCTCAATAAGCTTGCTTCATATAATATGTCTAGGAAATTTTTTGAGATCATCAAATCATTTTTTTCTATTAACTTTATTTAAGTCATCCTCAAAGACCAACACTCTCCTTTATTTCCAGTGACTTTTGGGGTGCCTCATGTTTCTATCCTTGGTCCTGTTTTGTTTCTTATCCACATTGATGGTCTTCCTGACAACCTTATATCTAAAGTAGCTCTTTTTGTTGATAACTCAACTTTATACTCCTTGAAGAAAAGTCTTCTCTTTTTGATCGCTTAGAACAGGCAGCCAATCTTGAATCTGATCTCACTTTCTGCAACAGGGGCTTGCAGTGGATTGTAAATTTTAACTCTGACAAAATTCAGTTATTTACTTTTTACATTTATTGTTTACTACTGATTTCTGATTTATTGTTTACTACATGTTTTCTTTCTTTTCTCATGTTCTTTGTCATGATCTCATGAAAACTATTGAATGCAAAGTTAGCATTTGTTTAAATTTTCTTTATCATGCTCACCATTATCTTACTCCTGAATCCATTCTCTACCTCTACATATCTCTTATTTGTTCCCGTATGGAATACTGTTTTAATATTTTGGCATGTTTTTCCAATGATGCTTTTCTAGACATTGTCCAAAAACGCATTGAAAACATTGTTGGACTTTATCTGCCAAGCTTGAGCCTCTCTCCCACTGTTTTAAGGTTTTTTCTACAATACTAGAAATACTATCATGAAATCATAGAAGTTCTATCATTTTATCGCATCTAGAAATACTATCATGTTTGTTTAAATCATCACTAATTCTATCAACCATAGATTGATATTTCCATTCCATATTTCCATAGATTGATATTATATATTGATAATTCAAATAAAACTCAAACAAAAAAAAAAATTGATTGTAATGACACAATTAGTCATATATTGTAATGACACAATCTGGTTGCTTACAGTGCATTTGCTATTAATATAAGCATACATACATATATATATATATATATATATATATATATATATATATATATATATATATATATATATATATATATATATATATATATATATATATATATATATATATATATATGCTTATATTATTTATGTTGTTTATGAATATATATAAGCATACATATATATATATATATATATATATATATATATATATATATATATATATATATATATATATATATATATATATATATATATATATATATATATATATATATATTTATATATATTTATATATGTATATATATATATATATATATATATATATATATATATATATATATATATATACATATATATATATATATATATATATATATATATATATATATATATATATATATATATATATATTATGTTTATGTATATATATATGTTTATACATGTATGTATATTTATTTATGTATATATCCCAGACAGCAAGCTTACATTAGACCAACGTTTGGCCAATGTATGATGATGCATTGGCCCAACATTGAAAGTTGATGTTGGCCCAATGCAGGTTTGATCATTGGTTAGGTATTGGCCCAACGTTGTATACAATGTTTACACAACATTGGCCCAACATTGTGTATAACGTTAGGCCAACGTTGTATACAACATTGGCCCAACGTTGTATACAACATTGGCCCAACGTTGTATACAAAATTGGCCTAATGTTGTATACAACATTGGCCCAATATCATATGTTATATATCGGCCTAACGTTTTATGCAACATTAGATCGTTATTACAGATAAGATGATTTGCATCTCTACATTGAAAATTTATAGAGAAAAATGAAAATGTATGATACAAGTATAAAAATTTATTTATTTAACATAATTTCTCGGTTAAATATACATATTGCAAACACCAAACTTAAACCAAAAACTGACACATTGAGTTTTAAATAAAAAAATTAACTATAAAATTTATAGAGTAATTTCGATATTAACTGAGCTACTTGTTATTGAATCGTTTTTAGCTTATAATATTTGGTGCCCACGATTATTATTTTTTCTTCCGCTATCTCTATCACATGTGTGCATAAGCCATGCTTATTTGATTTCACAGTTTCTGCACAAAAAAAAAAGTTGTTTGTTTAATTATGCACCAAAGAAACATAACAAATTGAAAGTAATTCTGTAATGCAAAATTGAAACTGAAAAAATAATTTTTTCTAAACCACTTACCAATTGCAGCATATGCAATCAACATTTTTCCTATTCCAATTTTTTGTCTTCTCCCTGCATAGTTTAATTTTACAGCTAAGCCATTTTAAAAAACAGTAAGTTAAGTAAGTAAGCCATTTTAAAAAACAATAGTAAATAACATATACAATCTCCTTTGTCTTTAACTCTAACTTGTGACAAATAATTAACCTACAAAAATACACAACCTGGCAATAATTAAAGTAACTTTTGTTTAGACTTAAATTAATATAAAATGTCATTTACAAAAAATCTTCAAAGAGTATTTTATTTAAAGTATATAAATTGTACTAAGATATCATACAAAATGCATAAACAGATCATAAAAAAATATTTACCATTTAATTAAGTATTTTCTTGTCTTTTTCCTTTCGGAGTATTTGAATTCTTCGCTGCTTTTAATGGCAATGACACTTTTTTAGGCAATACAATAATTAGCATACCTTTGTTACTCAAATTTTTATAACTGAATTTGGTATGTTTTGTAATTCACCAAGTTGCACTTCAATGCTTGCACATTGTGCCAATAATACCAGCATATCTTTCAAGGATACAACTTTATCTTGAAACAATAAAGTTAATTATATTATTAAGAAACTATACAACTAATTACATATTATGTTTAGAATTTATGAAAATAAATACAACAATCACTAATAAAACAGATAAAATTAAAGACAGAAAAGCAAACTTTCTGTCTTTAATTTTATCATTGGGTTGTTGTATTTATTTTCATAAATTCTAAACATAATATGTAGTCACACTTTTTTTAAAAGTAAGGTTAAAAAAGAATATTTTTTTTTTTAGGAAAAGATTTTTTTTAGATAAAATAAAATTTTTTTTACATAAAATAAAGATTTTTTTAGATAAAATAAACAATTTTTAGATAAAATAAAAAATGAAATTTTTTACAGGAGAAATGTTTCCTGTAAAATTTTAGTTTTGTGACTTGTCACAAAATTAAAATTTTACACTGTGTCACTTTTTACACTGTATCACTTTTGTCACTTGTTTCCTGTAAAAAATATATAAAAAAAAGATTTTTTTTAGATAAAATAAAGATTTTTTTAGATAAAATAAACAATTTTTAGATAAAATAAAAATGAAATTTTTTACAGGAGAAATGTTTCCTGTAAAATTTTAATTTTGTGACATAGTACAATAATTGAAAAAAACTGATTTGTAGAATTGCAATATTACGCCGAAATAAAAACATTTGCTAAATGTTGGCCCAATATAGTCCGATATTTGCAACTTGTTTCTCCGCGTAGCGGCCTTGTTTGTCAAGGATCGTGTTTATTAAATTATAGAGTTGAGAGATGGTTATAAACACTATTAAGTAGCTTCCTTATCTGTAGTGGCTTTCTCGGCCTTCAGGAGGTGAATAACAAAAAAACAAACAAAACAAATTATAAAAGCTGTGGGAAACAAAATGACTTACAGGCAGATTTCTAAACTTTACGATGTTTCTAAACCAGAAATAAGTCACTTTATGGAAAAATTTTGTCTTCGCAAAACTGTTGAAAGCAAACCTTGCTCTGGAAGAGCTAAAGTTACAGCTGAAAATTCTGATTATTAGTAAAATGTTCCAAAAATAATCTTTACAAGACAGCTATCGAACTAAATTCATTTATGCATCAGTTTCATGGCTGAAACTGTAGCGTTGATACAACTAAATGTCGATTACGAAAAAATAATCTGTATGGTCGTTGTCCAGATAAGAAACCGCTAATATTTGCAATAAATTTAAAAACTGGAATAAAATTTGCAAAAGATCATATTAATTGGTCAGTTAATGACCGGTCAAAAGTCCTTTTTTGTGATGAATTAAAGTTTATGCTATTCAGTAATGACGGAATTAGGTACATTAGGCGCCCAGTAGGAGACTATTGGGCGCCTAATGTACCTAATATTTATTCCAAAATATCAGTTATCCATTATTAAACATGGAGGAGGAATATTATGGTTTGTGTATGTTTTAGTTGTGGCGGTGTGGGTCCCATTCATCATATAGAAGGTATTATGAACCAGAGAGTTTATTTAGACATCATAAAGAATGTTATTCTACCACATGCAAAACATAAAATGACTTGCAAAGGAATCTTACAACAAGATAATGATCCAAAGTGTGCCAGATCTGTTAAGGAATATTTTAAATCACAAAGTTCTTAAATGACTTTCATAGAGCCCAGATTTCAATCCTATTGAGCATTGTTGGGAGTACATCGACCGGCAATTAGTTGGTAGAAAAAAACAACCAACAAAGACCATTTATTTGCATTGATTAAAGAATGTTGGTTTAATATTTCTCAGGATGTTCTTATTAAATTAGTAGATTCAATGCCTTGTCGCTGTGATGCTGTTTAAAAGGCAAATGGATATGCCACCAAATACTAAGTGTTTTATTAAAAACTATTTTAAAATTTATTGAAAACTATAAAAAATTGTTATTTTGTGAATTTTAGTAAAAGTTTCAGATTTTTTGAAATAAATGTTAATTAAATTTAGTTGTTTCTAAACTTTTGCACAAAATTTTTTTCAAAAAAATGATTAAATGTTGATTAACTGTTCAATTTTATAACTTTTGTGGTTTGTATTTTAAATTGAAATTATATAGAGCACATTTGGTTAAAGTTTCAGCTTATTTATGAAAGTTTCTAAAAAGTTATGCAAAAAAAAAAAACAGAAAAAAAGTTGATGTTTCTAAACTTTTGTATGTTACTGTATATATATATATATATATATATATATATATATATATATATATATATATATATATATATATATATATATATATATATATATATACATATATATATATATATATATATATATATATATATATATATATATATATATATATATTTATATATTTATATATATATATATATATATATATATATATATATATATATATATATTTATATATTTATATATATATATATATATATATTTATATATATATATATATATATATATATATGTATATATATATGTGTGTGTGTGTGTGTGTGTGTGTTTATTTATGTATAATATATGTATATTTATAAATATAATTAAATTTTTTAAAATAATTTTAGACTGGTATATTGCAACTTTGTACCAATGCTTTATTACCCAAAATTTATTCCTTGATTGATTCTTATGTAAATGTAAAACATGTCTTGACAGAGGTTAGTTCTTGACAATACTCAAGTTTATTTCTTAATTGATTGTTACATAAATTTAAATTATGTCTTAATTAATTGTTTTTGCTACTTAAAATGTTAAATGTTTAATTTTTCTTAGTTTGATATAACATATTTAGCTACAATGTTAAATTAAATTTAATCAAAATTAGTTTTAAATGATTTCAAGTTTTATGTAAAATAAGGAAAACTAGACACTAGTTTTAATTATTTTTGAAGTTTAAGACTTTTGATATATAAACTTTTTTTTTCTACTGTAGAATCCTGTTAACTCAAACTCTGAAGGGTAGACTTATTGAGATTTTGAGACATTAAATGTTCTTAAATAAATAAATATTATGTAAATTTATGTAAAACTGTATAAATTTATGCAAATTTATATTTTTGTATATACAACGTATGCTATAAACCAAAAAAGTATATTGTTTGTTTCAGTGGCTTGCACAATTCTTTTTCAAACATCTTTGAAGCATTCAAAGCTATTTATCAAAGTTCACTACTTATCGAAACATCGAAAAATTAACAAGAGAATTGTTTTATGAACTTTTTCGGTTGATGTTGCCTTGTTTTATCTGTCATTTTGTTTCCTTCTTCGTCTTGCTACCTCAATAGTATCTTGAAAAATTTCTTCATCTGTTATTACTTCTACCATGTCCAAAATGCAATCAATAAATCAATAATTGTTAACATTTCCTTGTAAGTTATCTGGAACAAGATCCTCATCATGCTGACATAACTGGTCAACTGATTTTTTATTGCAGAGATTCTTCATCTTAGTCTGGTACTCTTACTCCTTCTTTAAACCCTGCTTTGCAGAAGCAGTTAAAGGGATCCCCAACTGCCGAGACAAGTTGTGTTCATATTAAAGAAAATGTTTAAAAAAACGTTTAGGCTGAATTTTTTTGATTAAAACTAAATAATGAATGCACACCATTAATTTTAAAATTCACATTTTATTCAAAACTCGTTGTCTCCATTTTTTTTTGGTTCTCGGAGTCTGTATAATGTTAGCCGTAATCTGCAGACTTGATAATTTATTCTGTGCTTGTTTAATTCATAACAGTTTTGGTATATGACATCGTCGTATAAATTTAACATCGTATAAAACTCATCCATAAAAAAAGTCTAAACTTACGTATTTTTCAGGGTTTTTTTTGTTTTTTTTATAAATGTCTTCACTTCACCTTTCATTTTATAAAAGTCTTCATTTCACCTTTCATTTTATAAATGTCTTCACTTCACCTTTCATTTTATAAATGTCTTCACTTCACCATTGATTTTATAAATGTCTTCACTTCACCATATTTTCATTTTATAAATGTCTTTACTTCACCATATTTTCATTTTATAAATGTCTTCACTTCACCATATTTTCATTTTATGTTTCATTATCTTTCTCTTACTCTCTGCTAGTAGAAAAAAAAATTTAATTTCAACTGAAATATTATAAAAATATCTTCTACAATTTTTTTTAGTTGTAAAGTTTTACCTTTCTACTAAAGTTAATACCCTCTGTTTTTTCTGGGAGTTTAGATTGCAGGTAAACTTGATCTTGTCAAATATCCATGCTTGTTTGAAGTTGAATCTCTAAATACAAGTTTTTTTTTACTGAAATCATTTAGACTAAACTTTTTTTTTATCTCTTTCTTTTTTTTTAGGGATGGCAATCCCGGGATATCGAAATCCGATTTCGAGATCCCTTAAAAAGATGTCTTAAAAAAAGTAAAAGTACAAAAAGTTTCAGTTTTTCAATTCGTAAATAAGAAATTTAGACATCATAAAATTTAAATATGGGCTTTGGAACTGTAGCTGTTTACCCTCTTTGCAATGTTTTCTTTTTATTCCCCCTCTTTCTGTATTTTATCGAAAATGCAAAATAAAAGCATTATTGCTTATTTGCAATAAGATACTATATATACATTTTTTTATATGTTTAATCATATATATTTTGTACAATTAAACATATAAAAAATGTAGATATATAGTATAATATTAAAACTAATGTATTGTTAAAAAGATTAAACATTTTTAATAAAAGAAATACCTTTTTATTTTGAATTTTCAAATTCATTCTAGTTCCAATGTTTGTGTGATTTTAATTTCATTTTTATGTGCACTCATTTTAATAACAAATTTGTGCGTGATTTACAAAAGTTTATTAATGAAGTTATCAAAATATAGAAGGTTTATTAAACTACAAAAGTTTACTTAACGTCCGTTCAACTGATGAAGTTATGCAAATACATAAGATTAATTAAATAAACTTTAGTTATCGTTATTTTAAGTAGAAATTGTTTTTAAGAGAAAGGTTATACTCAAGATTCAATTGATTCATTAATAAAACATGTGAAGTTAACTTTAAAACATGTGAAGTTAACTTTAAAACATGTGAAGTTAACTTTAAAACATGTGAAGTTAACTTTAAAACATGTGAAGTTAACTTTAAAACATGTGAAGTTAACTTTAGGCACCAAACTATTGATTATAACAGTCAGGAAAATTTTTAAAATGTTTAAAAGGTCCCTACATTTTTTCCTCTAAAATAAATGCATTAAAGTAAATTTCTTAAAATAGAAATTACTAAAATTTTCCTGATTTAATAACAAATAATTTCTTTTTTTATTTAATCTCAGCTTACATTTTTTGCCCAATTCACACATTTCCTAGATTTCCTATTCCCTTTTTCAATACAATTTATTACTATTTATCATTATTACTAGCTAATAATTATATTTGAAAAACCAACTTTTAATTTAGTACTTGCAAATCTTATTAAAACATCACTGCACTGCTTAATATATAATACTACTATATATTTTTATATTGTAAATAGTATAAATAAGATGTTATATCTTAAACATATAGTATATTCCATATATTTAACATATAGTATATTCATATGTTAAACATATGTAGATTTTTCATATCTTAAACATATAGTATATTTATATGATCTTTTATAGAAATTGTAAAGTTGTAGTGGTAACAGTAATAGATATTTTTTATTTAAAATAGTTATTAAACATACATAAAACAGTTTTTAATCTGACTTGAATATATAGGGGAGAGTGGTGTACCTTGGAGGGGTTTGTACCTTGGAGGCACGTCAATTGTGCTACCATATTGAGTGATAAATTCAAACTGAAATTTTAGTTGCATGTATTGGTCATTAAAGGTTTATAATAAGTTGTTTTACTACTGCTAAACACACTTGCTGTTGAAATACAAATAAAAGTTTGTTTTCGGTACCAAAAAGTAATTTTTTTAGGGCGTATTTATTTTTTTCTACAACTGTAGGTATAAACTTTATATTAAAACTGATTATCAGAATTTGTAAAGCATGTTTTTAGCGACATTTATGTATGTTTGAAACTGCTTAACTGCTAACCTATAAATATATGGTAGCGATTTTGTAAAAACTGTGGTAGCGGTGTACCTTGGAGGTAGCTAATGTTGTGTACCTTGGTGGTACCACCAAGGTACACACTTGCATGATTTTGTAAATACTATTATGAGTAAGTTTGTTATGAAAATATTAATTTAATGTAATATGTCGTTATAGTTAACTTTTTTTTTTTTTGATGATGTCCTTCCATTTTATGAAAAATAAATTGTACAGATATTTGATAGTTTTTAATGCTTTTCATTAATTTTTTTAATTTGACACGTTTTTCAAAATTCAGTACTTAAAAAAAGACACAAACTCAGAAAGATTTACTAGAGAAGATAAAACTGTGTATGAATTGGACAAATCAGACATGATTTTTCAGTTGCCGCATCCCTCTATTACAGGAGGTTCAGCACGACAGCTGGAAAAATTATCATTTGGCATTAACTTTGATAACCTAAATGTAGAGTAGTCAAATACTAAATCAAAGACTTTAATTTACTGAACTTTAATGTATAATTTTGTTATTACTCTTTTCTTAATAAGCTTTATTTCTTATGTACATTTTTAGTACTTCTAAATTTAAATTAGTTTAAATTTATAATCATATATAGCAATATAAATTAATATACAGTTTATATAAATTTAACTAGTTTGATAAATGTTATCTTAAATGAGGCTGATGCGGAGTCTAATAATCATATAAGTAAACATTATATCAAATTTCTATCATGTTGAGTACTTAATTTGTTAAAACAATAATACCTCCAAGGTACAACATAAGTACCTTCAAGGTACACCGCCGGTGTTGTACCTTGGCTGTAGTGGAAACTATTTTTAAAAAATAAAATAAGGAATGAAAAATAATGTCTGGATGTTTAATAAAAAAACCTAAAGTAACTAATATCATCAAGTTAAAGAAAATATATTGTTTCAGATCATATTGTAAGTATTTTTTCTTATATTTAAAAAAAGTTTGAAAATACCTCCGAGGTACATAACTCTCCCCTACATTTCTAAACATTACTATTAAATTTAAATAATATTTTAAATTAGTTTTTATAAAGGTTTTAAAAGCAACACCTCACAAAATTATAATTTCAGTTGATTTAAAATTTAAGTTATTCTATTTTTAGCGAAAGAAAAAAATTGTAGCTTTATAATCAAAAATTCAGATATTTATTCATGTCATAGAAAAAAAAATTTATTAAAAATTTTTGTTCTAAGCGTCTGGTCTCAAGACCCTTAAAAAGAAGCCCTTTTTTTTAGTCATTTTAAGATCCTTTTTTTTTTGCAAATATACCCTTTGAGGGCTAAGAAAAAGTGATATGCTCAGGAGTTAGTTTAAACATATTTGCTTCAAATATAGACAGTTTGGTTTTTTAAATTCCAAAAATATTTTTTTCTTAACACCCCTAATATATATTATGTATGTGTGTATATATATATATATATATATATATATATATATATATATATATATATATATATATATATATATATATATATATACAGTTCATTATATTACAACTTTCATTTAGGAAGATTTTTCTTACTATGAAGTTAACGATCCATTTGTGCAAAATTTAATTGCTGGACTGGATAGCAAAATTGTCTCTTTAAAGGTAAAATTTTTTACTTTATTGTTAACTATTAGGTTGACTTATCATATTTAAAAACAGTAATAAAACTATGTTTAATATAAAACAGTATTTGTTTTATATTAAACATAATGAGAAGTTTTCTAATGTTTCCATTAGTGAAAACAAATATTTTTTAGTTGTTTTTTACTTAAATTAATGTTTGGTTGACATATTGACCATATTGACAAGAACATAATTTATTGATCTGTTCTGTAAATTATAGGATTGCTTAACTACAACAAATTATGGTTTAGTTGTCAGCATGTTGTGTCATGAAATATCAGCAAGATTGGAGAAGGTCATTATTAAGTGCACTTTTAATAGGGTATACATTTTTTTATTTTCAAATCGGTTAGCATAAGTTTATAATTAATTAATTAATTTTTGTAAAATTAACAAAGAACATTTTTTTGAAGTTAATTAAAATTTCTTTTATGTAGGTTGGATCAATGCTAGACTATTTAATAAATTTTGGGCAGTTGTCAACTTTTTCTTAATGACACAACATTTTTAGTGAATTTTGAAAGGATGACACAAAACATTCTTTGTTTTTTTTACCACATACATTTACAAACTGCAACACTTTGTATTGATTGCTGTAATTGCTTCATTAAAAACAATGATTCCGATGCTGTTGCTATTAACTTGACTTGATTTTTTATTCATACTCTCATTTATAATTGTTTGTGAATCTAGATCATTAAATAATCATTCAGCTACATTGTCGTTGGAAAAGGTAACATCTTTTCCAAAGACAGTATAACTGCCTTTGGTATGTATAAAAGTTCCGCCAACACTGTTTTTGGAAAAGTTCCACTTTGCAAGAATTTATGCAATGTAATTGATTCTTTATTTCACCATTTTAAAAATTATAAAAAAATTATTAAACAAATTTATAAAATTTATTCAATTTATATAATAAAAATTATTAAAAAATAAACAAAATATTTCAAGTTAGTGGTAGTGGTTTTTTGCTTTGTTTTTTAAAAAAAATTGAAGATTGTTGTAATATTCTATCAATTATATTAGGTCGTTAGAGAAGTTCGTAGAACTTCATCTATAAAGTTACTATAAGACAGGAAATAATTAAATATTTATATATCATCTTAAATTTTGTTTAATTATGAACATTTTAAGTACTTGTTAAAATATTTTGAATGTTTATTAAAAAAGTTATTTAAATTTTGTTATATATGTTTGAAAGAAAAAATTTAAAAATGGAAAAACTTGAATATCGAGAGTCTTAAAGATGATCCTCACTCAGGGCTCCCTCAAACCATGTGTACAGCTGAGAATATTGAAAGTGTGCGAGCCATTATTGAAGAAAATAAAAATATATTATTAATTGGCATAAAAATATGAAACAAGTTTTATATTTTTCAAAGTATGATCAGCACGTATAACTTCTGTTTGCAATTGCAAGCTTTTTTTAACTGCCAAAATGACGTTTGCAGCTCTGTCATTGACACACCATCTGAAAAATTAGGAACAAAAAATATTTTTATTACTTGTTATATTATTATTAAACTAAGCAAAATGTTTTATAATAATAAATGTTAGTCTGAACTTTAAATGACAAAAAACAAAATAAAATTTAAATGTTTAGTCTGAACTTTAAATGACCAAAAACAAAATAAAAACTTAAACTGAAAGATGTTGGCTCATAAAAAAATTTAACAAATATTACACAAAGTTGAAACATTAATTAATTTTTCTTTTTTGTAAAGTTGTTTGGTTACAAAATATAAAATGCAAACTTAAAGGAAAGGTTTATGAAAAATAAATATAAAGATGAACAAAAAGTGGTAGTTTGAAGTAATTACCTGTGTGTTTCTTCCTTTGGAAGCAGATTGAGGGTGTCAATCAGGGCATCTAACTGAATGACAATTGCTTTCCCAGTGTGTCTTTTATCCTTGAATGGTTCCCACAATAAATGATTTAAGTTAAAGTTCTTGTGAAATGTAATAGCATGTTAATGCACTAAAAGCATCATTGTTTTTGCTTGTCAACATATCAGTAGTTAATGCTGCACCAGTTAGTTTTGGAATATCTTTAATGAAATCAGCAAGGACATATTTCTAAACTTTTTCATAAAGTTCTGGCAGAAGTGTTGATTCTGCAAAGCATAGCTTTTAGATTGTAGTCAAATCTGACTTGTCATTGTTCTTATAAGATTTCTTTTGTACTATAAATTTTGTAATTGATGGTTGAATGAAAAGACCAACAATGCTTTTGAATCTTTTAGTTTTACTAGCTCTTCTGCAGCAATTCTCTTTTTTTTCTCTCAAACTGTTTGTTAATGTCTTTATGCTTACTTTTCATGTTAATGTGGAGAGTGGACATTGAGTGTTGAGGTGTCACAAGATATCTTCGCTAATCTATACATAGAAACATGATTTACATTTTTGAATTTAGTTTTTTTTTTAGTTAACTGAAATATAAAATTTTTGGAATCGTCTTACTCCATCTATCGTGTTATCTACATCAGTGAAAACATTTAAAAAACAATTGAAATGTATTGAAAGCGAATGTAAAGTCACCGGCTGATATAGAGTATGCTTATTGCATGCTCTAATTTAACATTTTGAATATTCAAATCATTTTAATTGTTATTTTGTTAAATTTCAGCAATTACATTCCTTTGAAACTAAATTTTATATTCTATTTGCTATATTAATATATTACTTCAAAGTAAATATTTAAATTTTTAAAATTATATTTAATTTAAAATCTTTTAATTTAAAAAATGTATAAAATAATCAGTTTCTTTAACAAAAAAATTTACAGGTTAAATACTTTTTTTAAAAAAAGACATTTAATTCTGAATAAACATCATATAAACAGTTATATAATCAAAATCAAAATATCAAAAATAAAAGTTTTCTTTTAATCTAAAATTTCTGAATGCGTATGCATTTCGCCATTTTGTGCCTAAAATGTGAACTGTGAAACACTTCTTAACATGAGCTGCGTGACTCTCTAAACTATTTTACAATTGGTTAATTTTTTTTTTCCTTACCTTAAGTAAGAAAAAAAAAATAAGAAAACTTTAAAGTTATAAAATAAGGTATATAATTTTAAGATAAGGTAAGAAAACCTTATCTTAGAAGATAGCATTTAGTTTCAATTTTAATAAATTCTTTTGACTGTTGTAACCCCTCTAAAGTCTTTGAATCTGTGATTAACAAACTTTTGATTTCTTATCTTGAGTCTGATAACTTACTCTCTGATGATCAAAATGGATTTTGATTTGAATGGGTTTCTTGTTCTTCTGTTGATTTGTAATCATTGTATTGTGCATTATATAGAAGCAATGAGGCAAGGTCTTGATATGTCAGTTGCTTTTTACAAATCAAAGTTGGCTTGGTGGTCTTCTTTATAAGCTTTATATAGTATATGAAGCAAGCTTATAGTTCTTTAAAAGTTTTAAGTTATTGAGTTGTTACTTTCTCACCACAATATTTAAATTTTCCTTGATGGTCAACATTATCCTGTGTTTCTAATAACTTCTGGGGCACCAAACTTGGTCCTTTATTTTGTATCGCTCTATTTTCTAATGACTTAAATAAATACTAAAGTTTTAAAAAACAGTTATTTGATAGCTGATCTGATCTTACGTACATAGACTAAGTACATTGTTTCATAAATAAAACTAAATAAAACTGAACAAGTTTTATTTGGAGCTAATAGAGCAGAACCATGCTATACTTGGGTAAGCGAGCCTCTCCTAGGTATACTTTAAGAATTAAAAATTCATATACTCAAAAGCAGCAGTGTACTTGCTTATTTTAAATAATATTATTGTAAATTAAAAATTATTTTAATTATTATCAAACTCAAAAAGAACATAAAGAAGAAAAAAACTTTCTGTAAATGTTTTTGTTTCATTTTTTTTTTTTTTTTTTTTTCTTAAATTAAAGTGCTAAAAGTTCTATTATTCAAAAATTAACTTTGCACGATTGTCAGTAAGACTGAAATTTTAAAATAGTTTTTTAAAATAGTTTTAGAAACAAAGTAATGAAAGTTTAGATATCATAGAGATATAAATTATAGAGGAGTAGATCTTCATAGTGTTCTTTTTTTTGTTCTTTTTTGTGATAACTCATTGGATAATGCATTGGTTAGTCTTTTACTTAGTCCTCTACTTTATGTCTTTTTAGATTGTCCTTCACTATTGACTGCTCATAGAAACTATATTTATATTTATTGCTAATTTTTAAAGACTTTATTTTCAGTAGTTATTTTATTTAGTAATTAGTTGAACTAATACAAAAATGCAATTTTTGTATTACTTCAACTTATTAACTTTTTTTTTAACTTAGCTTAGTGAATTTAACTTTATAAGTTAAACTTTTCTTGAAAAACTGTTATTTTAAAAAAAAATTAATGTTTTTGATCTACTTTTTTAATTTTCACTACCTATGTAATCATATTGCAACATAATTACATAATGTAATTATGTTGCAACATGATTACATTATGTAATTATGCTGCAACATCGTTACATTATGTAATTATATAATTAAAAAACAACATCGTTACATTATATAATTATGCTGCAATATCATGTTGCTATGTAATTATGTTGCAACATGATTACATTATGTAATTATGTTGCAACATCGTTACATTATGTAATTATGTTGCAACATGATTACATTATGTAATTATGCTGCAATATCATGTTGCTATGTAATTATGTTGCAACATGATTACATTAAGTAATTATGTTGCAACTTGATTACATTATGTAATTATGTTGCAACATGATTACATTATGTAATTATGCTGCAATGGGATCTTGGAGTTGAAAAAATTTTGCTTTTGTGGACTACCATAGTTGTAAAAATCAAATATTTTATTTTATGTTTAGAATTCCGCACAGATAAAGTAAATAAAATATGCATACATATACAATAAAGTGCAAGGCAATTTGAGAGTGTTGTGAGACGCTCTTTAACTTTGACCATAGTGACACATTTTTTTTTCAAGTGAATTTTTCATTTTAATTTTAAGTGAAATTATATTGAAAAATAAAATATATAATCTAAATATTAACAATATATTTTCTATGAATCAATTTGGTTTTCCAAAAAATGGTGTTTTTAGAAGGCAATAAGCATATTCATATACATCTTTATCTATGTATATTATATTTACTATAATATTATCTTTAACTATGTATATTATATTTACTATAATTTATTTTCATGTATATTATGTTTGGTATATCTTATTGACAAAGAATTTAAGTTGTTTAGAATAATGTAATTTGTTTTAATTGAATAAAATGTGTAAAACCGTAATAATAAAGGTTGAATATATATTCAAGTTTTGCATACAAATGTATGTATTTATGTTGTGTATTGCATAAATACATACACACACATACATACATGCATACATACTTTTTTTTTTAAACATTTTTACTTCGAACAAGGCTGCCAGCAACCACTAATAGAGTTGGTTGAAGAGAAATATAAGCAAGCAACCACTAATAGAGTTCTAGGTTATTACGATACCAAACTAGTTGACCTTTATGTTGTAAAGAATTAAGTTGACCTTTATGTTGTAAAGAATTAAGTTGACCTTTATGTTAAGAATTAAGACTACTTTAATTCTTTGTAGTTTGTAGATTATTTCAAAGAAACATTTCAAAGTTTTGAAAAATATTTTGGTCTGTACTTTTGTTGCTTAAAACCTCTGAGAAGTTTTCTTTGTAATTTTGAAGCACTCATTACAAAAAACAACCTTTTTGACAATTTGACTGAATCAATTTCTATGCAATCTCTTAGAAAAATCTTTTTTCAGTATTACTGGGTGACCACGCAACTGCGTTATGCTCAAATTTGAGGCTCTATCAATGCTTGTAGATATCCGTGGATCTATTTGTTTACAAATTACGCAATGATATCAACACAGAGATAAAAAAAAAACGTAAAAATTAAAAAAATTTAATTAAAATGGATCTGCAAGAATCAAAAAGACGAAGCATTCTGCAAATGTTGCAATCGGATAAGACTACATCAGATATCAGAAAGGCTTTAAACTGCTCCAGAACAGCAATTTTTCGAATAAGAAAACTTTTTCATGAAACAGGAGATATCAAACGACGTTTTAATAAGCCAAAACCTGTGAAACGATCACCTTTTAAGGTCTGTCAAAAGAAAAGTCAAGCGAAATCCATTGCGCTTTATCCGCCAGTTGGCAAGAGAAGCCAATGTTGCCAACTCCACAATGCAAAAAGTTATGAAAGATTTGAACCTTAAATCCAGAGCTGTTGTGACTAAGTATCTTATCACTAATAAACAGAAAGAAAGTAGGAAAGAGCGATGCAAAAAATTGTTAAACTGGCAAAAATCTTACCCTGGGGGTTTGACAATCTTCTCTGATGAAAAACTCTCCACTGTAGATAAAGTTACTAATCGTCGTAACACAAGTTACCTTAGTACTGCCAAAACAGTAAAGGAAGTCCCTGAGAATATTAGGCATTCATTTTCATTAAAAAAACCAGCTTCTGTGATGGTACTTGTTATGATAGCAAGTGATGGAAAAAAGCGTCCTACAGTTTTTGTGAAAAAAAGGTCAAAAAATTGACAGTGATGAGTACATCCACCTCCTGTAAGAGAAGGTCATTCCCTGGTTAAACAGAAACTATCCAGATGGTCGGTATGTGTTTCAGCAGGATGGAGCACCAGCTCATACTTCAAAAAAAAAAACACAAAATTTTCTCAGTGAAAACAAGAGTCAGTACTGGGACATATTAAAGTGGCCCCATCTAGCCCAGATCTGAACCCATTAGACTTTTTTATGTGGACGGCTGTGGAGAAGGAGGCTTGCAAGATTCCCCATGGAAGTACCGAGTCACTAAAAAAATCTATATGCAAAGCATGGGCCAAAGTTCCAGAAGAAGATGTAAAGATTGCATGCAGATCTTTCCAGCGGCGTATCCTACTTGTGTATGATGCCAATGGTGGCCATGAATAAACATCTAGTCAGTTATGAATTGAAATAAATTTTTTGTGTATTTTTAAATTTTTATATTTTTTGCGTTACGCTGTTGCTTGGTCACCTGGTATTTATTTTTCTTTCAATATTGCACATATTTTTTCACTTATGGTTTTTCTTCTTTACGTTATAGGATTCTTTTAGTGTGTGCTTTCTGAATTTTCCTTATCTTAAAAACCAGCCATAAATCTTATGGCAAAAAGATATTTAACATAGCGTCAGGTCTCAAATGTTTTTGTAAACAGTAACCAGATAATTTTCTTTTTCTGAACAAACAAAAAACTTACTTGCTGAAGAAGAAGTAAACTTCAGTTCATCGCAAATTATATTAAATTTATACAAAATGTTTAGAGGTATTATATACAGTCCAAACATTCTGTTCTTAAAGTTAACATAAACCGTATATTTAATAAGAATACAATAATACTATTTTTAATGTCATATAATAATAAATATATATATATATATATATATATATATATATATATATATATATATATATATATATATATATATATATATATATATATATATATATATATATATATATATATATATATATATATATGTGTGTGTGTGTGTGTGATTATATGATTTATATACTGAGTCAGTTCATGGCATATTATTTTAATAAAACTTTTACTTGTATTGGAGAGTTTTTGAAAAGATTTTTTATATCTTTAAATTTGAAAAATCTTTTTATGTAGAATCTTGGACAAGTTTATTCTGTTCAACTAAAATTAACTTATATTTTAAAATTATTTATGAATTTAAATACCTCTTAAATAACTTTATAACCTATGAAATGCAAAATATAACATGAAATTGAAATATAAAATGTAAATAGATGAATAATATATATGTTTTTTTAACTAAATTTGTTTTTTTCTGTCTTACTCTACGTCATCAGGGTGAAATTCGTCTGGCTTCAATTTTTTCTGCCTATGTCACCAACATGTAAAACTGAAGCTATTTATAAAAATTAAAAACATAAGAAAATTGTACAAATTTATAAAATAGTTATGCTGTATAATTAACAAGTATAATTTTACTTCAATTATTATATATCAGTGAATAAGTTTAATATATTACTTATAATATCAGTTAACTTAATTTAATAAGTAATTAAATAATTGTTATTAGTTTTGATAATATTTCTTATTTAAATTTCAGCTAGGGGGTTTGCAGTTAGATAAAGATCTTCGTTCTCTAATTCAGTACTTAACAAATGCTAGCGAATGGACGATTCGCGACAAGTTTGCACGAATTACACAAATCTCAACAATACTTAATCTCGATAAGGTAAATAGTATATTTCTTCTAAAAATATTTATTATAAACAATACTTTATTTTATGTTATAATAAATTTATTTATAATAAATTGCTAGTTCAGAGCAATAAGGTTGTAACTGACAGTTTGGCAAAATGGAGAAAATACGGTTTAAAAGTTAAAATGTTTTGCATAAATCGATAAAAATCTGATATTTTCTGAAATTAGGCTCAAAAATTGTTAAAATATAAATGTCCTTATTATAAAGTAATGTTTTCTAGATAGATGTAAAACTTAATGTAAAGCATCCCAATTCATGAGAAGATAAAATTTAAATCATATAAAAACTTATTCCATCTCCTCCACTTGGCACGCGGAGGACAATTTTGGGAAAATTCAACATTTAGTTTTACCACAAAGACTACATAATGATACACTGATCTCAGTTTTAGCCATTCAGTTACTACACTTTTAGTCATTCAGTTACAACATTTTTAGCCATTCAGTTACTAATTTTTCTAATTTTTGATTCCGCAGTCCCTGATTCACCAGTCTCATTAATAAAACAGGGTGTGTTTTTTAACGGTTATTTTTTTAATTAGGTCTACGTTTTATGTGTGAACCTATAAAACGTAAAGCTAATTAAAAAAGGAAAGTAAAAATTGCAGCCGTGGTGTTATAGTTAGAATTCTGGCTTCAGAACTGGAGGTCCGTGGTTTAAAACTGGCTCTGGGCAACTGCTTCTTTACCAACGATGCATATATGCATCGTTGGTAAAGAAGCAGGCATGAACTTCCTGGTTAAATGCTAATCCGCCTTGCTCTGTGATAAGACTGTTTGGACTTATAGTTTCTAAATAACTAAAATAAGTAATAAAAATTCTTTATTATTCGTAATTTTTTTAAAGATTATGCAATTAAAATTTTTTATTGATTACTTTCAAGCTACTTTATATACTTTATAGCAGAAAATAAACTAGGACTAAGATAATCCAAAGGTTTTGACTATTAAATCTTTTGTATTCCGTAGAACATCTTTTATATCTGCGCAAGTATCTTCTTTCATCCTTTGTACACGTTTTAGCCCAAGTACACCAATCTCTCCAAGTACACAAGAAGTGTACTATGAGTGAAATTTAAAAGCTGTTTTGAAAGTAAAATGTGTTATTTAAATGTGTTATCTTTAAAGAAAGAACCTGTTGGGAACTTTGTATGATTTTTTGGGCTGTTGTTTAATTCGTTCACTTTTTAAATTTTTATTGCATTTGAGTTGTAAAATTATAAAATGATCCAAAGACATATGAATTTTTAGTTGAGGTTAATGTGATTTAAATTTTAAGGTAAACGAGCTGTTGGATTATTGGGGTGAAAACTCTGGACCGTTAACTTGGCGTCTTACTCCTGGTGAAGTTCGGGCTGTACTTGCTCTAAGGTATTCTTAAAATATACGTGTATTACGTGTATTAAAGTATACGTGTATTTTTAACAATATTTTAATGTTTTTTTTTTTCTTTAACTTTGAATAACAAAATCTTTTTAGAAGCGATTTTCGAAATGAAGACATTCAAAGGCTGAAATTGTAAATATTTTTTAACACAAATGTTAAAGTTGAGTAATTATTTAGAAAAAATCTCTCAAACCTCCGAAACCAATGAAACCTCCGAAAGAAAATGAAAACAAAATCAATTTTTGTATAAATATTGTTTTTGCAAATAAAAGCAAATGGTTCTTGGTTCTGTGGTTCTCTAACCACAGAACCAAGAACCATTTTAATAATTGATAAATATCATAATATGAAATATTGTTAAAATTTTGTAGGGGAGAATAGGGAAATAAAGATTATTGATTTTTCAATAATTTTGATTTTAAAACTAAATCATTTGCTATAAATTCGACATATTCGTTGATTCGCTTGTATTCTAAGTATAATATTTCGCTTCTAACATAAAAAGTATAAATATTTACATAGTTAACTGTTTTGGGAGAATGGTTGTGATATGGAAAGAATATAATTTTTATTTGTTTGAAAAACTGTGAAACTTAATAATAATATACTTAATTATATACTTTTCCCTATAGAAAAGAAATGTATAGTACCCATAAGTACTAATCAGTTTTCAATAACTGAAATCATTGTTGTTAAATAGTCAACAAATATAAAAATATAAAGAATAAAAAAAAAATGAATTGGTCAGTTTTGATTCTCTTCCCTCCCCCCTCCCCCTCGTTACAAAGTTGTAACCACTAACCTCTTCCACCCTAAAGTGTGACGTGATTTATGGACAACCTCTATGAGAATTTATTAATCTATTGTTGCAATATTTATTTAAAATAAAATTAAAAGTTTTATTTAAAAAAAAAACAGGCTATAAATAGTAGTTTATGTACACAAGGTCAAGTCTTGGGGTAAATTCTGGTGCACAATATTAAATAGTTCACTAAATAACACAAGAATGTATCAGCTTGATGTTTCAATATCCTTAAGGTCAGTTGGCATGTCGATTTTTTTTATTAAGTGTTATTTTTGTATTTACAATATATATCAAGTTTGTATGATTTATTAAAAATACGCTAAAAATTCTTAACAAAAAGCTCATTTGTTTATAGTTATATAAACTTTTAAAATATTGCTTCAGGACATAACACTGTAGTAATTATCAAGCACATAAGTTAAACGTGTGTTTTGCGTTTTATGTATGCCAGAAATAATTTATAAATAATTTAATAATAGCTTTTGAAAATCTAGTTTTTAAACATAAATACATATTTAAAGATGGTTTTGTAAATAAAACCATTAAAACAATTTTATTTTTGCATTATATTTTGGCATACAGAGCCGACAACAACAGGGGGGGGAACGTGCCCCTCCATTATTTTCCTAAAAGTCCCTTTTTTCTTTTTCAGAAATTTTATAAGATATAGAGAACTTTTTTTAGAATATGACAAATGTGTTTCTCTACTTTAAAAACCCAAACCTAGCTCTCTCTCTCTCTCTCTCTCTCTATATATATATATATATATATATATATATATATATATATATATATATATATATATATATATATATATATATATATATATATATATATATATATATATATATATTATAACAAATATACATGTATGTATATTATAACATTTTGATTAGAGATGATCATATTACCTGTAAATACCACAATATGGTGGCTATCAATAAATGAACTATTCATATGTGTTTTAGATAGGTACGAGTTGCTTTTCTTTTTTTGGTTACTATGAGTGATCAGGTGTTGAGCAAAAAAAGGATTGAATTTTGCTAACAGCTTGATCCAGGAAAGTTTCCAGTATGTATTGATCCTAGTTTTTTGTCTACATAAATAAAATACAAAATTTTTATCATTTTCAAAAATAGAATTTAGAAGGATTATTTACATAATTATTGTTCAATTAAAAAATGTATATCAATTAATTTAAATTAATGTGATTTTTATAATACCACCCCCCACCCCCCGACGAAAGATTAATAACTTTGATTACACAGGTCAACAACAACAATAACAAAATTTCTGGTGCCGAGCAAACAATTTGTTTTTTGTATAGCATTTCTAATTTCAAATATGAAATCAAAATGAGACTTGTTATGCAAGATACTTTAAAAAATGTTTGCTAAATTCTCAATGAAAATACGCTTCTTTTGAAACCGAGGTTGAAATACTTTCTAATATTTTTTTTTTGACAATGTTAGGGATTTTACCCCAAATACTAAAGATTTGAACCCAAATATCTTTACAATTTGACGTGATGGTATAAAATGAGTTGCATATTTGAAATCAAAATGAGAAATGCAATATAAAAAACAAATTGTTTGCTCGGCACCAGAAAAATTTGTTTTTGTTGTTGACCTGTGTTTATTTGTCGTAGAACTTTGGTTCAACACTTTTTTCCGGTCTAGTATTCTAAATTGATCTTTCCTTTCACTGCTTCAATTTGAGACAAGAATGCAGCAATTTATTTTAATTGGATTTATTTTCATAACGTTTTACTTTTATTACATTTTCTTTCTTTCTTTATCTTCTTTTATAATATTGTATTTTTTATTTCTTTTTGTTCTTAATGTTTTTTACTTGATTTAATATTATTATTATTTTTCATTCTGTTGTTACTTATTTGAAGATTTTCTTTATTTTAAATTACTGTTAAATTTTAATTATGGACAACGGGTCAGAAGATCTAAAACCTTTTTACGCGGGGAGTATGTGATAAGTTTAAAAAACGTAACAATTTCTTTTTCTTTTGCTGAAATTTATTTTGCTGTTTATTTTTTTAATAGTATTATTTCATTAAAATAATGTTTTTCGAATTGCTTTTAATTATCAAGATTTTTTGCAAAACATTGTCATTTAACATAAGCACAAACATACTCAAAGTCAGAGGCGATTCTACGTGGGTGTTTTAGGGTTTGAAAGTGTCATTTCCACAAAGATTTTCAAGTTATAGTCGGTTTTTTGAAGAATATAGTCAGCTAGTTGGGTATTTGACACATTTGAGTTGGGTGACTTTAAGTTTTGAGGAATTTCTTTTTTTTTAAGAAAGCAGTCATTTTAAAGATTCGACCCTCTCATTTTTGTCCTAGAATCGCATCTGCTCAAATTTCAAATTTGTTCCAATGCTTTAAAGTGTCATACCTAAAACGTTAAAAAATATTATTTTATATATTTTCTTAACTTTTATTCTATGGACTGTACGTCTTTGACCATTCCTGGTGAATAGAGAAGTGTTTTTAATATAAAGAGTAAAATAAGTTTAATTATAATACAATTACAATACAAGTAGTATAATGAATTATTGTAAATACAAAATAAAAGATATTAAAAAATTTATATAATGTGTTTAGTATTTTCTTCTAATTTTTTCGCTAACATAAAAGTCGAATTTTTTATTCTGTTTATATTGACATCAAACCTAGTATTGTTAATAGTTGTATGTGCTATAATTGAGTTGATGTTGTTCAGTAAAAAAGATCACTAAATTGTTTAGGTGCTACTTTGGTATTGTTATTGCAATGCTTACTAATTGCTGAAGAAAATGACTTAAATGACTGTTGATCATGTTTGTTTACTTTAAAGTTTAAAAAGCTTTTATTTTTAGTATGTTATCAAGGTTAATAAAATCAAATTGTTTGAATATTTCATTGGTTTCTTGTAATAAATTATTTTATTGCATAGTTTTAGTGCTCTGCATAAAAATCGAAGATGAAAACTGCATAAAAAAATGAAAACTAAAGTCGATAAATATTATTAATGTAAAGAGTTTTTTAGAGTTGTTTAGCTTTACTTTTGAGATAAGAACATGCAACGCAGCTTCACATAAATGATTGCATCTGAAATTGTGTTGGTTACCATTGAATAAATCATTTTGTTCAAACTATGCAGTTACTCTTTTAGCACTTATTCGTTCAAACACTTTTGTTAGTGGATATATTATAATGGAGATATTATAGTGGAGATATTATAGTGATACTTCGATAACTATTGATATCATGAATTTTACCTTTTTGTTTATTTCACCTTTACGTTTGTTCGCATAATACTAGTTATTTTAAATTCATTTGGAATACTACCTAACCATTTGGAACTACCTGTTTTTAGACATTTGTAGAATATAGTCATTAATGGATTGAATTATATGATTTTTTAAATAATTTTTGCTAGAATATCTGAATAATCACAGCTGCTTTTTTCTTTTAAGTTTTTAATTGCTTCGACGATTCCATATTTGTTAATGAAAGTTGTTAAAGAAAGAAATGAGAAATTTTAATATTTTTAGCTTTAATTGTTGTTACAACCTCAAGTATCTCTCAAGTTTAAATCTCTGTAATACAAATCTCGAAAAACAAAGCTAAACTTGGAAAACCAAGTTAAGAAATCGGTAGGATACACATTTCCTGGAGAATTCAGTTGGTTGCTTTAATGTTGAAGAATTAAAATATTTTAAATAATTAACTATTAATGTTTTGTAATTTTTATACTCTAAATGCTGAATAATTTATTTTTATGTTATTTTTATTTTAAGTTATTTTAGATGCAAAACAATTAAACTAATTAAAAAAATTAATACGGAATAAAACACTGTAATACATTATTCAATAAAGTTTAATCAAGAAAAAATGAGTATAACGGAAGATATTTTGTTAAGCTGTTCATTTTTTAAACATTTTTTTCGCCATTATAGATGCCAATTATAGTTTCGTAAGCTTTTTGAAAAAAAATTTATTCTAATTTTTTTTTTAATTTGTTATCGATAACATAATTTAATTTGTTATCGATATCTGATATATCAGAAGAGTATTAGTATTTAGTGTTATTCAGGTTGAACATTGAAAAAGTGGTTTTAAGTCGTGAAACCACTTTGAATTATTTTAGATCTGAAACAAATTACTGTTTAAAATACAAGTAACTCGATAATTTTTGATTTTGCACTAAAAAGTGTTTGTTTATTTGCTTAGCAACTCATCGGTATTGTGAAATAAAAATGTTATAAGTTTTTCGTTTGAAGACAAAACAAGTATAGTTTTATAACCTACGTGGCTGCTCCATTTTATAACAGGAGTTGTTTTGAGCTTTTTTTTTAATTTAATTTTAGAAATACTTCTAAAGAATGGTTAAATTTTGGTAAAATAAATAATTATTAAATATAAACACAGAAAATATTTCTTGGTGATTTTAATTAAAATATCCTAATAAAAATGCGTTAATAAATATTAAAGATGTTTAAGTCAGTCTTTGTTGTGAGCAGCTGACATGGCGTACTCCATTGAATACATGCTTAATTTATTGACAGAGTTTTTATACGGTGCAGTTATCCAAATGTTCATTATCCATTTTTCTCCTTTTTTTACCTCGCATCCACCATGTAGACTCCGCTCTTCTAATGCACCAAGCCATCCTTTATAATCAACGTAATGGTTATACCATACTACAGCTGTTCCTTTTACTGGTTTTAATACAAGATTAGCGTCATGACAATGTTCAGAAAGGTTGAACAAATCAATAGCTTCAGTACCACGTCTTCGAAATGACTAAAACATAATTTAATTTAAAAGATCATGTTTCGCATCAACTAAAATTTTTTTAATAATAATCAAATTATATCTTACAGAGTCTGAGTAGGTTATGTTATCTGCGGCTGGGAATGCTGTCTCTCCTCCCTCCTCCGGAGTGTTTAAGTAAACCATTACTGTAATAAATCTTAAAAGAAATATTTAAAGGTAATTGAATAACGCTGTTAAAACTTTAGAAATTAAAACCATGGAGAAAATAAAACTATGGGAACAATAAAACTGAGATGAAAAGCATTTTTTTCATTTAACATTTTTTATTGGCTATGCATAAAAAAAAAATATCATACCTGCACAGTTTACATTTATTATACTGCAGCACAGTTTTCGTACTAGTATGATGACAACATGGTTTATCAGTTACCTTTTCTGTTTCGCTATCGTGATGAGCGTGATAATGACCTTGTGGAAGATAGCGGACAACCTTTTCGTGTATAAATAAAAGTAAACAGTATAAATCACTAAAATAAGTCAATGCGCTTTTAATAAAATTTCTGGATGTGGCCAACACTAAAAGTGTTGGTCACTCTTATTTTGAAGTTTTATGTATACTCTTTTGAAATTTTATCTATAAAAGGTGATTAAAAGGTGATACCTGCAAATGCTCTGAGCCTAGTAGTATTTTTTCAGGTATCTTCAAAAGTTCACCAAATCTGTATTAAAATTTTTCATGCTTATATAACTTCAAAATTATATTTTTGATTAAATATGTTGCTTATCCGAATTTTTTACCTGTATCTAATTTTTGAAAGAAGTTTATCATATTCCTTTGCCATAGGAAGCCAAACCTGATCGCTATATCTTTGTCGAAACTTAGGATGATCTCGCATTACTTGGTTAAGATAATCTTCTATACCCTGTGTGTTCATATTTTGAAACTCATCAACAGTGCATATTCCTAGTAATTGAATTCATCAATAGTACATTATTTATATGTTTAACTTGACTATTTTTATTTACTGGTACTTTTATGTGTACATATACGTACCATCATCAAATTCTTTTAACTTGAGCGTTTCAATCCTATAAAAAAAGTAAATAGAGAGAATAGCAAAAACCTTTTTAGCAAAAAAACAAACAAACCAAAAGAAATTGGAAAGTTTAATTCTGTACATAGTTTTAACTTCTGGTTCTTTAAAATATAAGAAATTGTAGTTTCGACAAAACATGGCAACCTAAACGAAAATTGAAAAACTAGTTTGTTTCTCACAAGTTCTTTTCTATATAAGGGGGTGGGGGATATAATGGGTGTGAAGACCGAGCCCTTATACAGGTTATTGATTTTTATTATAAAATAATTCAATCAAAAAATAACCTCTTTCAAATCAATTATTTGGTCGTCGTTGAAATCCCAATTTTCAAATAGTGATGCTGGTCCGCTTGCACGACCGGGTTCTAAACAAAAAGTTTATTATAAAGTATTTTTGTTTTTATTTTCATAAAGCAAATAAAAAAGCCAGAGCGAGGGGTGCTCATTTAAAAAACTTTGAAGAAGTTTTTTATATGAGCACACGCTCTGGTATAAAGCACCTCGCTCTGGTATAAATAGTAGTTTCTTACAAACCTTAATAAGCGTAGTAGTTTCATGCAAACCTTAATAAGCGTAAAACCGGTAATTAACTCGGGAATAAAAAATTTTCAGAACTTTATGGAGTTTTTAAAAAACTTGTAGAAAAAGATTAGTTGTATAATAGTTTTAATATAAAAAACTGATACCTCGTTCACACTGACGATAAAATACGTTTTATTTTAAAACGAATTAAGTTGTCACTTTAAAAAGTTGTATAAAACAACAATAAAATAATATCGCTAGGTTGTTTTGTCAGTATAAAAAGCTTAACAACCTCGTCATAGTCATATTGTTTTAACAACTTCGTCATATTGTTTTACTATCACCAAATAAAATACTATCATATTGTATTTTATTTGCTGTTTTATACAGTTTATAACATTAAAAACAAAAACGCGTTAAAACAAAACGTGTTTTATTGTCAGTATAAACGGGTATTACCTTTAGACGGTTTAAACGTATCTTCCGGAGTAAGACCTCCTCGAGCTTGACTAGTAAACATGCCTCCGCTGTAGTTAGGATTTTTGGCTTTTTCAATAACATGAAGAATTTCTTCGTCGTTTAATGCATTTGGAATTTCTATTTGATAAAAACAATAGTTCAAAACTAAAACTTACTCTAGTTGTATTCTTATCTCAATCTCTAATGTATAACCAATCAACTTCGTTTTTTTTTATTCATCTACATTTTGATTGCTAATTTTTGTAAACATTCTTAAAAGACTTTAAAGAAAAATAGTCAAAATTTAAAAGTGTTGAAAGTTTGAAGAAGTTTATAGTTTTTAAAGACTTATTTATTAAAGTTATTATAGATCATTTAACTGGTTGATTACCCTTTTTAATTACCTCCTATTCGTTATTCACTTATCCTTACGTCAAAAAAACTTAAGATTTTTTAAAACAAAGTGGTATTTACCAAATAATAATGGCTTTAACGCTCTTGTAATCAGTTTCATTTCTCGACCGCCAATGGTATATGTCTGTTCACTCCCAACCTAAAGGTTTATTTAGAAAAAAAAACAGTTTAATGATGAAGAATTTATTTCATTTTGTTAAACTAAAAAGTTTTATTTGCTTACTGAAGTAACTTTCCTATAAAGTTGTTTTAAATTTCCTTGGGGGTCGTCTATAAAGGACGTCATTCAGAATTTAAATACTAACAGGAAGTAGAGGTTTATAGGCTCCCTTCCGCGGAGATTTTTATTGAACATAGGCGCCATAATACTCTAAAAATCTCTGGGCACGAGAGCCAACATTCTCCAACTTCTTGCCATTAGTTAAACTTAGCGTGATGTCCTTTATGGATGACCACTTGGTAATTATATTAACTTTACAGTGTAGTCATTTTAAGTTTACTACGTAGTTGTATTAACTTTTCAATGTAGTTATATTTTCAATGTTTTTTTTCTTTTTTTCAATGTAGTTACTTTCCTGAGAAGTTCTTTTAACTTTTACATGTATTTATATTAACTTTACTGTGTTAGATTAAATTCACTATATATATTTACCTTACTTACGTTGTAGTAACAACTTTACTACGTAGTTAAATTGACGATTCGAATACACCTGAACAGACGCACTTTTAAAGCTCTGAAAAAAAGCACTAAAACGTTACAGAATTTTCTACATGTAAATTTGAAATTTTTACTTGTGTTTTTTTAAAACTTTGAATATGAATATAGAAGGTAATTTAAACAAGAAAACGATTTAGCTATCATGTAAATTTTTTTGCTACGGTATTAACAAAAAGTATTTAAAATTTATGTATATCGAAAAAAACTTTTTTTTAATGATACAACAGATTAACATTTTAAGATAATTTGTTATGATCGACTGGATAATGTGTGTAGGGGAGACTGGGGCTAGTTGCCTTTTTTTTATCTTCAAGCTCTGTAGCCCTAACGGTAAAATTTTTCGTAAATATTAAAGCGTAGTCTTAAAGAGTATGAACTTAGGTAATATTTTACTCGCATTCATAATAAAAAAAAGATTTTGACTCTATTTATTTTGGCAACAATTTTAAACCAAAATTTTTTTTTTGGCGTAAAAATTTATTACTTTTAGCTGATACCAAATATTAGCTTGTACTGCAAACCAAAACGGTAGCCCACTTTATATCTGTTAAGAAAAAACCTAAAATTTTTTTTTTTTTAGTTGAAATAAATTTTTTCAATATTGTTTAAGAATTAAAAAAAAAGGTAATTTTATTAAAATATTTTATTTTTCCATAATAAATGCTAACTATTTTGTTTGTAAAGTAAAAAGGAAGCGATGTTCCGAAAGTTACGTTTTTGTCCAAAAAACAAACAAATAGATAAACGCAGTTTATCTTCGGAGTTTGTCAACTTACTTACTGTCTCACTGTCTAACTGTCTTACAACTTACAACTAAGTGTGTATAAACTTAATACACACCAAGTTCTACAGTTCGTGTTTAAAACTAAATATGCTCTCTCTAATTGTATATTCAAGAACTTTATAATAAATATAATATTGTAAGAGGGTTACAATAAAAAATTATTTTATAACAAAATAACTATTTAATAAAATTAATAAAAAAACTTAAATTTTATTGAAAAAGAAGTTTTTAATTTTTGTTTTATTTTATTTAAATAGAGCCTCTATGAAGTAATCGAGCCTCTATAGAGTAATCGAGCCTCTATGAAGTAATCGAACCTCTATAAAGTAATCGAGCCTCTATGAAGTATGCAGTAAATTAATTATAAAACCAATACTTTATTTAAAAACTTTGTTTATTGAGGTATTCTACGCCCTACGTTGTGTGTAGGAGAGCGCCTAAAAACCGTAAAAAATGGGACGTTTATGAATACTTAAAAAATATTTTTTAATAAAAAGGAATGCTTTAATGTGATTGGCTGAGATTATTACTAATGAGATTGGCTAGTGTTATTATAAGTGTTGTAGTTTGATAAACTTGTTTCTTGTAAAAAAAAAAAATTCTACTTAAAATGATTTTTCCCAATTTAGTGAACTGTTACAATACAGGGAATTGTTTTTTTTTTTAATAAAATTAAATAACAGTAATGCTAAACTGGCTTAAGCACTCTACAAATAATGCAAGGTTTGTAAATGTTAGGTCTAAATATTTACATAGAATAATTATGATCAAAATTAAATGTGAACAACAACTACATGAGCAATTCAAATCAAAACACAATACTCAAAGTAAAGTTGAGTTCTTTATAATATTTACAAAATGAGAGTGTCATTTTTTACGCCTAGAAAGTTTTCTTTTTTAAGGTATTTTGGTAACTGTGAAACCCTGACCTTAGGATCTGATCAGCACGTAAAACATTGTAAAAAGTCTTTATTTGTCTTTAAATGTGATGACGTTCTGAAGTAAAACTTTTTTTAAATTTTTTTAATTATAATTAATGCCGACATCATTAATAAATTGTTCTGTATTTCTACAGTATTGCAACTGTTTGATAGACCAGAACCACCAGATATAGAAAGATTAGTCATCAGTTCGACATCATTTTTATATCTAGATGAAATTCTTTTTGGCTAATCTTTCGAAAGCTAATGATTTAACTGCACCAACAATATTTTGCACTTCCAACAGCCGCAACACAGTATGGTCATTCAAAACTTAAAAATTAAGTTCAATCGAGTAATTTGTTACTGCCCATGATTTTCAATTCAAGTATGCTGTTGTATTAACATACATAAATTGAAGGCTGAAAACTTTGCAGCTTTTTTTTGTTATTATTGGTGCATCTTCGAATGCTAATATAGGTATCTTTTATTTTTTCATCATTAATTATCATCATTAATTATGGGGTCATCCATAAAGGACGTCAGTTTTAGTTTAACTAATGGCAAGCAGTAGGAGAATGTTGGCTCTCGTACGCAGAGACTTTAGGAGTAATATAGCGCCTTATGTTAAATTAAAATTTCCGGGGAAGGGAGCCTATAAACTTCTACTTCTGGTTAGTAATTAAATTCTGCATGATGTCCTTTACGGACAACCCCTATCATTATTAATATGCTAATAAAATCTTTTTCCACTTGAATTTGGAAAAAATGCTTTTATGAAAATTGTGCAGATAGTCAGTTATTGGGGCTTCTAATTTACCTCCTTTGATTTAAAAGTAACTCTAAAACACTTAAGCATCTTTTTTAATGTAAATACCACTAGAAGAAATATACCATGCTTTCAAAGCAATGCTTCAGCACTTAAATAGTCAATTGGATTTTTGTGCTGCCACAAAAACAGTCTCCATCAATGACAAAAATATTTAAAGCGTTTATGAAAAAGTAGCAAGAGCTTCAATGAATTAACGTTTTAATAATTTTAAAAATTATTAAAAGATAAAAATGGAAAAACTTTAGATGGCTTAAGGATTTTCAACTTTAATGGAAAAAAATGTAACAGATCTTCCTGGTATTTTTGAATATTTTTTCAGACGTGGAACAAAATACCTGAAGCCAGTTAAAGACAGTACAAATTCAAGCATATCTGCAATATTTCACAAAGCAGCCGAGGCGCAGTGGTAGCGCACTTGCCTCAGAAACGTAAGATCCGCAGTTCAGACCCCACCTCTAGGCAAGTTTTGCGACATCGGTTGGAAAGGAGGCGTGAACTTCCTATTAAATGCTCTTCCGCGGTGCTCTGTGATAAGACCGTAAGGACTTCTTAGGGCACCTAAATCAACTTAAAAAAAAAAAAATGTTTTGTGGTTCAGTAGCGAGGAACATTTTTCTTCCTTATGGAGTTTATAAATCTCATCATTTATGGAGTTGCTGGATAGAGGGTGGGGTAAGAGGTGTAAGATTTAATTAAACAAAATCTGTTTAGTTTGATGAATTGACATTTTCAAATTAGTTTGAAAGTTCTTTTTTGCCGGTACTAAGCATCTTCCTATCGTTAAATTTGTAACTATAATTGATAATCTAGCTAGTCATTTTACCAAAAGAGTTATAAACTTTTTACTAGAAAGTGATATTGTTTTGGTGTGCCTTTCAAAAATTCATTTCACCCACTACATGTTACATTTTATAAACCATTGAAAATAAAATTAGAACAGTTATGAAAAAAAATGAATAAAAAAGGCTCTATAATTATCAAAGGTTTCATTCATTATTGAAAAAATGTTTAGAAGTGTGTAAACAAGATAATAAAAAACTTTTTTCTCAAATTTTAGTTCCTGGGTTTAAAAAATGTGGTGTAATGCCACTGAACAGAAATGCACCACTTTAGTTTCTTAGTTTAAAAATGTGGCATAATGCCACTGAACGGCAATGCATCACTGGAGATACTGATTTTTCAACAAATGTAAAAAGTATATATCTAATTCACTAATTAGGTTTAGGAAAAATATAGAACTAGGGACTGTTTCAAGAAATAAAGAGGGTGGGGGTGAGGGGTAATCCCTAAAAAAGTACCAACTGCTTTCTTAAAAAAAAAAGATCTTCAAAACTTAAAATCACCCGACTGAAATGTGTTAAATACCCAAATAGGCAACTATATTCCTTGAAAAACCAACTATAACTTGAAAATCGCTTATTTGGGAAGGAAAGGCGGGGGGTATAACGCCTCTCACAGTAGAATTGCTCCTGTGTAGAGCCAGAATGTAGACCTAAGCGTTTCAAACTCTATGTTGAACCAGGCAAAGACAGTCGATTCTGGCTCGATACTGACTCGATTCTGACTCGATTCTAAGTCGATTCTGATTCGATTCTGACTAGTAGAACAACTAATAATGCATATTGCCTGATTGCTTTGTTTGTAAATAATCTTATATATAAATTCTTATATATATTAATAAACGTTCTTATATATACTTTACGTTCATATATATAATAATATAATTGTTTTGCTGTTATTTTATAAATTTTATATGATAAAAACTCAGCTGTTAATATAAAAAATATATCGTGTATATAACTTATATGCAATAAAACATATAGAGTCGCGTTTGTTATAATTCTGTTTATTGAACTTTATTTAACTTTTAGTTAATTGCTAATTAAATTTTTAGAGTTTTTTTTTTTTTTTACAACTCCATTTGGAATATTCTTGTTGTTCATAAGTTGGTTAATTCAAACATTTAAAAACCTTCCTACGCCACTGACTGTTAGAGTTGAAAGTTACTGGAAAAGAAAAGATGAAGTTTATAAAGCAAGATAACGATTAACAAACAACTTAAAAGATTGCAAATTATATTAATCTGGAAAACAAGATGAAGGGAGCGAGTTCTGATGTTCGAGGGAAAAAAATAGATGAAAAAGAATTTTTGGAGCACTTCGGAATAGTCACGGTAAAAGGGTAAGACTTAATTAAATGGCGAGTAACACGAGATCGAATTTTAGTAGATGTCACAAGAGACGCCAGAGCAGCCCATTTTAATATATATAGAAAAGAGAAAGAGAATCAACATTAAGACGAGGTGACAATAGTTAAAGGCAAGAGCAGGTCCAACTATGTTTTAAATGCGTTTTAGCACCTTGTCTAAAAAAAAGAAGGGGCATCATTCAATGATCCGCCTCAGATATGGCAACAGTATTCGATACAAGGATGGGTAAGAGATTTCTAGAGATAAAGAATAGAATCCGGAGTAACAAAGTGGCGAGCACGATAAAGAGATGCAACCTTGGCAGATACTAATGGATTTTTTAATGGATTTAATATGTTTCTAAGAAAGATCGGAAGTAAGAGTTAATCCTAGAAGACAAAAAAGAGATGACTTATCAAATACATTACCGTTCATATCGGGTGGACAAGGAAAAATCCGGTCAACTTTAAATTGAGATTTCTCTAAAACCATAAATGCTTTTTATTTCAATTTTTTTATTATTAAATGTGTTTACATAAATTAAAGTTTCAACTTAATTTTAAGGGGCTTGATGGGTTGTTTGGCAAGAAATCGAACTTTATAGCGGGTTGATGCCATTATTTTACAGATTTTTTCTTTTTTCACCATATTGGTAGCATTAATCCACTTTTTTTGGAAGTCCTTTTTATTATTTGTTAGTCCACCTGTCTTACGAAGAACTCCTTTAACTATTGCCCAAAAATCTTCAATCTTGCGCTCTTCAGGAGATTTGGAGGATTCGCATCTTTAGGAACAATTTTCACATTATTATCTTTGCACCACTGTAAAACTTTTTTAGAATAGTGAAAGAAAAACCAGCCTTGCAATACGTTTCGTCGTCTTCAATTATGCACATATTTTTATCCGCCATTATTTTAAGCAAATTCTTTGCGCGTCGAATCCCCTTTTTAAGCTTCTTTTAGGTGTATTTTTTTTATGAAATGCTTTAATTCCAGCATTTTTAAGTACTTTTTTGATATTAGAACGAGAAGTCTTAAATTTTCTTGCTAGATCTCGCTGTGACTGATTTGGATTTCTTGCTATTGAACGTAAAATCGACTTTACTTTTTTGGATTTATGGAAAGTTTTTTTTCTTCCACTTCCAAGTTTTCTTTCGAAGCTTTGAGTAGTCTTGAACTTGTTTATAATATCTATGGCTGTAGATTTTGGGACATTTGTGCGTTTAGCAATCAAGCGATAGGAAGTCGATGGATTTTTGCAAAAAAAATTCACAACTTTTTTACGCACCTCAACTTGTTTCCAAAACATTTTGCAAATCATTAATTTGTAAACAAAAATTTATCAACACCATTTAAGATAAGAAAGTAAGGTTTAATTAAAAAAAAAAAAAAAAAAAAAGCATTTGTGATTTTGGAGAAATCTCAATTTAAAAATGACCGTATTTCTCCGTGTCCACCCGATAAATATAGGAAGAACTAGATTGTTGGGATAACGATTGGCTGAAAAAATTGAGTTTTATCTGAGTTTCAATAAAGTTCTAGTACTTTATTGATAAATAAACCACTTGTTAATGTAACTCTAAAGCAAAGTTTGTTTTAGCCTTCAACCCGCATTTGTTTGTCCTAGTTTTGTTTGTCCGATCAGATAGGTTACTTTTGAATCTGAAACTTTTAAAAATATTAAACACGTACACAAATAAAATAATAATAATAATAAAATTAAATACATTTTCTGTATATATAGGGGAAAGGCGCATATGATGACATAGCGCCTATGATGGCATACTGGTCATATTTTCATTAATATTGGTTATGCCGAAAAAGTGATTAGACCAACATGTCTATACTGACTTTATATTAGTTTTAGTAAAAATACGTCTCTTATACACAAATACTGCTTTATAATCGAGAAAAATCGATTTTGGGATGTGCTGTTTTATTTTTAATCCATTTAAATATTTAATATTGTGATTTTAATATTAACTGTGCAGAAATAAAATTTTCATGCATTTTATTTCCAAATTTTGTGCATTTAGTGGAATACTTACTTTAATTTTATCTTTTGAACAAGACTGACGCAACTTGTTTTAATAAAATTTATAACTTCTTCCTATGATGGCATACTGACGAGTTAGGTGTTTTGCAATTTTGAGGAGTGGAGAAAACCTTTTTTTTCATAAAAACAACATACTTGTTATTGAAATAAAAAGGAATTTTTACTTCACTAAAAAATGTATGGTTCAAAAAACACATAAAACGCAATATCTCTTATGCACATGCGCAAAATTTGACTGATGCTATGTAGCACGAATGGGTTAATTAAGATGATTACGCGTAATTTCTGGCAACTCTGGGGGAAGACTCTTGGTCAAATAAAATTATCAAATTACCCTTGATGCTAACCAACCCCATCCTCCCCTATACCATCATAGGAGCAGTAGTTGCCTATGATGGCATACTTGTGCTTTTTTTTTTAATAAAAATAACTAATAAATAAATAAAACTGACAAAAACTCCTAAAATTATTATTGTTCTACATGTAACAAAAAGTGTATCCATATCAAAACTTTTGTTCTCGGTCTTCAGGGTACTGAATAATTAAGCTTCAAAGTTAAGTATGCCATCATAGGCGCCTATATATATATATATATATATATATATATATATATATATATATATATATATATATATATATATATATATATATATATATATATATATATATATATATATATATATATATATATATATATATATATATATATATATATATATATATATATGGAGATCATGAAATTAAAAATAAAGTTGATTTTGGTGTTAGTGAATCACTATTTAAATTGTGATATGCTGGCAATCTGAAATCGTTTATCACGTCTAAGTATAGACACCTTACTGTTTAAATAAGTTTCCATAAATAAATATACTGCTTTATTATTAAATAATATCTTTATTATTAAATAATAAAGTAATAAAGAAATATATTACACTTTTAAACGCACAAGAGTAATCATATTATTATTCTAGCGTAGTAACTTTTATATATAATTTACGTTTATATTAAATTTAAAAATATTACTTTTCCTGGATTTAATCTTGAAAGAGTCTCAAAATGCGGATAAGCATTTTCTTCTTTTTTTGCAACTTTTTCTTCAATAAAACATGGTTCATCTTCGTCTTCACATTGTTCTGTATTTATTTTGCTTTTGCAAGACCCGTTTTCATCTCGCTCACAATAATCCTGATCAGTACTCCCACCACATAACACAAAGAAAGTCAATAAAACCCACAATCTATATTTCATACCTTCCTTTAACAAAAAAAAACAAGAGTGTGAAATTAAATCTTTTTAAAATAAATAAAAATTAATCATTCAAAAAAATTTTTTTTTTTTTTAATTATTTTTAAGGTAGACTTCAATAAACTTTTTAAAGAACTTTCAAAAGCTGCCGAAATGTTGGAAGATGTTAGCACAAATAAACTCACTTGATGTTTGTGGCAAACTACTCTTCGCTACTCAAAGGCTGATCTTTTAATCTCTACATTTTTTTTATTGTAAACATCGTATCAAAAAGAGAATGAACCAGTTGTTGAGACGTGCTTAATTTCATTTATACAAAGGCTGATAGGGAATGAGTTATTTGTGTGAAAATCATTTTAAGAAAAAACCTAAGCTTTGAAAATAAAATGAAAGGAAAAAAGGAATTTACCACTTAGTAAAAATACTTAAAAAAAATTTTGCCATAAAATATTTTTCAAACTTATTTCTTCACAAGACGATAGCAAATATCTATGATTCTATGATACAATGAATAAAATACCACGAAAACGGCAAAAAATTTATTTAGCAATGTTAACTTTTGAAATTAATGAACATGTCTTTGATCAAATTGCCAATGTTTTTGATTTGAATTGATATTTTTGAATTGTTTAATGAGTTTTTTTAATCATTGGTATTTTCTATTAAACCATTTAACTAGAAAGTTAGTGAGTCCTTCCAATGTCGCTTATCGGGCTAAAGTTGGTGTCAAACCAAATCTAGCCCATTAAGTGGCATACGATTTTTGCTTCTGAGCCAGAACTATGGTTGAAACCAATACTTTTGAAAATTTGATTTGCTCAATAAATTTATGAATTTTTTAATTTTTTTTTAAATTTATTTGTTTTTAACTTGTTAAGAAATTAAAATAAATAGTTGAAAAAATATTTTATTTAACTTTTTTTGAATGAAAGGTTCAACGTGCAATAACGTCAAGTGCGATGACGGTGTACACCGTTATCGCACTTGACACACGCAAAAAAAATTTTAACCTTAAGTTTTATTTTATTGACTCAAAAAACGAGTCTTTACTTATAAAATAAATATTCATAAAACGAGTCTTTACCATAAAACGAATAAATAAAACAAATTTTTGCATATAATATTTTAAAATACATAAACTTTTGAAATTTTTTGATAGAAAAACAAATAAAGTTTTTATGTTTACAAAGATTTTTTTAAAGTTTTAAAATGTCGTTTTTTTAACTTTAGTTAGGTACTAAGGTATTGATAATTGAGATATCCATTAAGAATTTCAATAAATATCCGCTTAAAACAAGACGACTCAACAAGCTGATTAACGTCTTAGAAATGCCTTTTCCTGGACTTAAAGACTAAATGCTGCATATGATTCCATTTAAAAAGCGTTCGAGCGGAATTATCTTTAAGTACTCTAAGATTTTTTTTTTTTTTAAACATATTTTTGCCGTTTAATAAGTATTACAGTTTACAAAAATTTACAATTAAGTTAATGGCCGGAGCAAGATGAAGGCATTAATTTGCCTTATCGCCGAGCACCGTGTTACAATTTATAATTTTTTACAAAGTTATTGAAGAATATATATAGTATATAAGAAAAGCTGAACAAATGTTTACAAGATTTCAAAAAATAAAATGTTTCTTAACGGTCTTATCACAAAGCACCCTGGAAATGCTTTTAACCAGAAAGTTCACGCCTACTTCTTTAACAATTATGCATATATGGCTGGCTTCGAACTTGTAGCTAAAATATAGCATGAAATTAAAAAATTATGTTGAAAAATTTAAATATAATTCAATTTAAATAAAATCACATTAAATATAACTCAATTTAACTAAAATCACATGCCACTATTACAAAAATGCTTATTACAAAGTGTTTTGGATCAACAGCATGATCCAAAACACTTTGTAATAAGCATTTTTTCATCATGGCTAAAAATAAATATTTTTTAAACTCTATTCAAAAATTTAAAATTATGTATTTATGTGTACCGATTTGTATTTAGATTTCTAAATATGCTATTCAAATGATAAATAATATTACCAACAAAAAAAAAGAGCACTCCTTAGTGTATTTATCTAGTTATATGGTAAAAGGTATTTATAATTTTGTAATGTTAAACTTATTTTTCCTTTTAACACTTTTAACAGCTTCGGGTTCTATACGCTATAAAAGTCTAAACCAATAAGTTCTCAAAGTTGAAAAAAAAAGTAGGGTCGCTCATTCTGCATAAAAACTACAGTTTCAAAAAAACATTTAACTTATATATTCAAAGCTTGATTATCATAAAAGCATTTGATTTTTAAGTGTATAATAAGAAGAAACTTTTTCTTAGTTATCATGTAAAGAGGATTACGCGCCACTTGATAGAACATTCCAGAATCACTACCTTCTGCCTCAGATTGTGAGCAAATGGATGTGCTCAATGGATGCAACACATACATGCTTAAACTTACAACTTTATTGACACGTTCATTTGTTTAAAAAATCCACTTTTATTATATCTTTAGATTAAAAGTAATATAACTCGAATTAATTATAATTTTAAATAAAATAACTTTTTTTTTTAAGTTTCTAATTGGCACATCTGCTATCAAATTGACCCAATATAGATTTTACACGCATAAATACGAACTGGATACCAGATATAGCACTTGAGACCAGTAAATTACGTGTTGAATACCATTGTTAATTCCTGACACAAATAAAACCTTTGCCGTTTACCGAGCCGTTGTTATTTAATGACTCATAAAAGAAAGTGTTTGGTCGTTCAGACCTACTAAGTAACTGGGAAGTTATAATACGCAAACGCATATTTTCAGAGTTTCAAAAATGGCTATGGATACCTAATATAAAAACTTCTCATTGACAGCGAGTTACTTTTCCTATTTCATGGCCATTGAATATGCATTAGGTTGTTTATTAAAAGTTTATTATAAAAGTAACTACCAGTACATAATGTAATGATTCAAATAAAATAAAAAACCTCTCAAAATAAATAAAATGTAATTTCAGCTATAGCTATTTTAATGTGTTTTGTTTGTTGTTTTCAAATCCTTTTTAAGAAATTTTTCAGCGTAGAAATTTAATATTTTTTACTTTTTCAAATAGATAAACTTTTTATCTTTTTAGAATGTTTACTAATATTAGTATTTAATATTATATATATATATATATATATATATATATATATATATATATATATATATATATATATATATATATATATATATATATATATATATATATATATATATATATATATATATATATATATATATATTTACAGTGGCGGATTAAGAATATTTAAGGCCCGGGGCTATTCTTGTTTTTGGAGGCCTTTTTATAGGCCAGAGCCTAAAAATGACTAAAAAAAATCCTTTAAAATTTTTGGGGCCCCTCAAATTTGCGGGGCCCGGGGCTATAGCTCCTAGCCCCCCCCCCCCCTTGATCCGGTACTATATATATATATATATATATATATATATATATATATATATATATATATATTATATATATATATATATATATATATATATCGATTGATGTTAAATTTGTATTACAATAGTAATACAAAACTCTATTTCGGTTAAGAGTGCTTAATAATAAAGAAAGTAAACAACTTTCTAACTAGAGCGATATATATATATATATATATATATATATATATATATATATATATATATATATATATATATATATATATATATATATATATATATATATATATTATTTTTATTTACATATAGAAAAAACAACTTTTCATGGGACTAATAGTTTCATGCCTATACGGCAATCATCAGCCATGTACTATATCAAAAACAAACAAACCGTTAATAAAATTTCAAAATACAGTGGAGCGACATCTGACGTCTCTTAGAAAGTTGTTTACTTTCTTTATTATTGAGCACTCTTAACCGAAATAGAGTTCTGTATTACTATTGTAATACAAATTTAACATCAATCGATATATACGCTCCTGTTAGTTGAGCACTCTTCTCGAATTCGTACACAAGATGGAGAAAATTAACTTCAACTACTCTATCAAAAATATTCCAATTCCATCGGGAAAAGAGTTAATGCAGAAAACTGAGGCTCTCATAAAAAGAATGAGGTGGAAAGCTTCATTTTTCATAAACAAACTTTCTGATAACAAAGAATCGTCTCAGTTTATAAATTATGGTATAAAATCTGCAAAATGCCTACCAACTGTTAAAGAAATGTCATTGTTTGAAAAAGATATGCTTAATCTTGTAAAAAATATAAAATTTCGAAAAATCCGCAACTCATTTCAAGAAAGAATATCAAAGGATATAAAATCTCTTCGCGTATCGCCCATGGCACTAATCCAAGCTGACAAATCAACTAATATGTACAGAGTATCTAAAGATAAGTACAATCACCTTTTAATGAACGCCATAACATCTACATATAAAAAAGCTGATCATAATGTAAACCATAAAATAAATAAGGAAAGTAAAGAAATTTTAACCAACCACGATGTGTTTAACAAAATTGAGTTAAATGCTTCATCACTCTCAAAGACCACAAAGTAAACTTTTTAAATAACCACACCGTTCGCCTGTTAAACCCAGCAAAAAACGAAGTAGGACGAATTTCCAAAACTGTAATCTCAAAAATCAATGCTACATTGAGAAAAAAGCTCTGCTTAAACCAATGGCAAAGCTCGCAAGATGTTTTTTATTGGTTTCAAGGTATTAATGAAAAACATTTTCTACACAATTTTAATTTTCGATATAACTGACTTTTACCTATCGATTAATGTAAAACTACTTAGCGACGCAATAAAGTTTGCTGGTCAGCACCTAGTTATAAATTAAGAAGATAGGAAATTTATTATGCACGCGAGAAAGTCTTTAATCTTTACAAATGGCAATTCTTGGATTAAAAAAAACGGAGAATTATTTGATGTAACTATGGGTGCTTATGCAGAAGTATGCGAATTAGTGGGAATTTTTATCTTGTACCAACTATCTCAATATTACAACGGGAAGGAATTAGGTTTATACC